AAAGATATCACCCTCAATGCCATACATTTCTACCAATTGACATCTATCTGATAGGGGAATTAGCGAACGTAAGTATCCATATTTCACGTTTTGAAGGCGTGACCAGCACGCTACGTTATTTCATTACTATAGTAAAAAATAGACAAAAATGTTGCGTAGGGTCATGACTGGGTGTTACATGACAACGCTGAACCTCTGAAGCTATACCGCGTGCTACAGAAATGTTCATTCACCAGTCTTTAGGCAGACGTACGGCTCTATAGTGTCTTGTGGTATTTGTGGTGGTGATTGTTATTAAGGGTTGGTTTTCTTGTTTCTTGCATATATATAATAATAACGATAAGAAAAAAATAACAGATTTGCGTTTGGGTGGCAAGTTTAAGAGAAGCGATGTTGACTGTGGAATTTTAGTAATATTTTCCCTAAGCGTGATTTTTTTCCTTTTTCGCAGATAGAAGTGCCTACTGGGTGTAAGAAGACTTAGACCATCATACAGGTAAGAAGTTGTGGTATAGGATGATATTTAATTAAGTATATTTGATTATAGATAGATGGAATGAAGTAACGTACTAACAAGTGTCCGAAAGAATATGAAAGGTATACTATGATATTTAGTTTTATTGAATATTACATTTAGTGTGTTTTACTTTAAATTGATCAGTGTAGTATTCTGTGTATTTGATAATCATCAAGTGGTTATATATATTTTTCTTTTTTGTGTAGTACAACATCAGTTGTAGAAAATTGGGTATAAGTTAAGAAATAATTGCTAGGCATGGGTATGTTAATATATGCAATATATTATTAAGATATTTATCCTGTTTATCTGTATGTTCATGCATACATATGAATTATATATCAAAAAGTTACATCATGAAGATATATTGAATGGAAAATCTTGCAACTTGAGAATTGTCATTAAAGTGGTGCAATGTTTCCTGTGACCTTAGATTTAAAAAAAAGTTATTTTACTTTTGGTTTAGGTTACCAAATGTATATCTAGGTCTTTATAGAACATACCAAACCCTCTGTATATAAGAGATTTTGTAGATAATGTATTAGGTGATGACAGGGTGAGAATCATTGTTATTATAATTATATATATAAGTGTTTTTTTTTAAGCATTTCAGAACCAGTAAGTTTTTAATGGAAAAAAAACTCTAACAGATGTAAATTGTTGTCATTCCTTTTGGATAAGCAATATTTGTAACATATTACATTGCTAGTAGCATATTCAGGATTATTAGATATGTATTTAACTTTATTTTGAAATTATCTCACTATCTTTGATATTATTGAAAAGTGAAAAAGATTTTTGGTGATTAAAGTTCAACTACTTAACGTTTCATATAGATTATCTCAAAATGAACTGCTTAAGAAAATATTAATCCTTTACATATACTTCCGCAGAAAACACCATGACCAAGTCCATAGTAATTGATTTTGACAACCCGTCTGCTGTGTTCTTCTCGGGGCAGACCATAACAGGTCGCATAATTGTATCACTGAGTAATCCAATATCCTGTAGAGGTGAGTTTTCGTATTTCGTAAAAGTAATGAATTGTATTTGTGTATGGTTAAACATTATACAGTCGTAGATAGAATATTTGTGAATTATGAAATGAACGTAGAGATTCTTTTTAATAGTTTCTGTGTGTGAAACTGTGGTATAGTTTCAGTTTCACATAGCCATATGGTACAAGGGGAACTTTGCCTGTAATGGATGGATCAACTAAAAATAAGACACTTTTTATCTTTGATATTTCCTTCGCAAGTTGATGATATACTTTGGTATGCATTTACTGGAAAATCTAAAAACAATTTAAAGAAATAGAAAACTACACTTACTGATACATGAAATAGACTGCCAAGGCAAATAATATTCAGAAATGAAGAAAAGAGGTTATGGCAATGGATTTGCATCCGCCATAGACTGGTGTCAATCATCTCTCTAAGGAGCTTTTGGGTGGGGTTGTGAGTGCCCACAGGTCTGGCTGGTGTGCTGGAGATCGCCGGGGAGAGCCGGGGCAGCTCATCCGTTGGCTAAGGCCTGGTTAGGCCTTGTTGCTGCTTGCTGTGTCTTGCTCGGCTGGAGGATCGTGAGTGATGAACTCGGCCTGGGTGCGGGAGCTTAAGTGGGTCTAGGCTGTGTAAGCTACCCGGGAACGAGGGGAGTCTGTGGTCCAATAGGCAAGCCGTGAGGTGTCTGTGGTCAACAAATCAGGTCTCGGTATGCGTCATCGAGAAGTTGCTGATGGTGAGGGCGAGAGGACAGGCTGTGGACCTGGACCCAACCTGGGGGAAGTATGCTACGTTGCAGGTTGCAGGGGTCGGCTACAAGGTTATGTCAAATGCAGTGGAAAAATAATTCCGTGGAGATAAGGTGGGGATATGTGGCAGAGCTTCTGATAGGGAAATACACTGGTCGTGTGGGGGACTAGGGGTTAAGCTCCTGGGTTAGGAAGGTTTTTGGTTCATGCCACAATGTTTGTGAATCCTCAGGATTAATAGGGACTCAGAAGGGTGTGGTTACTTTGTAAACAGTTAACAATACTTTTATATATATCTTTTGCAAAGGAAAATAATAGAAGATTCTTGTATGTTACAATGTGAATAATTGAAACAAGAATAATAATTGCAGTGTTGGATGGCTGTGTGTAACAAAAAGTTTACCAAAAGCATTAATGGTGTTGATGTTTTTATGTGTATATTATATTTATGCACAGTATATGAGCAAGATATTTATTTATTGTATTGATAGCTGCTATTCTCTGCTATATTTCATGCACAAAATATAAGAGACACATGATCTCCAAAGTATTAGTGCATACGGACAATTTTTTTGCATGTTCTTTTAAGTTTACAAGATATTTATTTGTGGATAAAGACATTTAGATACATTAATTGTTACAGAGGTTTATAATACATTTTTCAGGAATTGAAGTGAAATTCAAAGGATCTGGAAAAGTTCATTGGAGTGAGCAAAAAACTGTTCAGAGAGATGGCCAGAGTGAGACAGAGACAGTGCATTATAACAGTTCGGAGACGTACTACTCCAGGGAATATCGTGTATGGGGAAATGGTTAGTATTGTTATTAATTTTAGTATTTCTATTTCCAGCTCTTTCACATTTTTTTTTTTTTTTTTTTTTTTTTTTTTTTACATCCTCCTCCTCCTCCCCCTACTCCTCTTCCTCCCCCTGCTCCTCCTCCACTCCTCCTCCCCCTGCTCCTATTCCTCCCCCTACCCTGCTCCTCCTCCTCTCTTGCTCCTCTTTCTCCTCCTCCTCCTCCTCCTCCTCTCCTCTCCACACTCATCCTTCTCCTCTCCTCCTCCTCCTCTCCTCTTCCTCCTCCTCTCCTCCTCCTCCTCCTCCTCTTCCTCCTCCTCCTCCTCCTCCTCCCCCTGCTCCTCCTCTCCCCCTGCTCCTCCTCCTCCTCCTCTCCTCCTCCCCTCCTCCTCCTCCTCCTCCTCCTCCTGTCCTCCTCCTCCTCCTCCTCCTCCTCCTCCTCCTCCTCCCCTCCTCCTCCTCCTTCCTCTCCTCCTCCTCCTCCTCCCTCTCCTCCTCCTCCTCCTCCTCCTCCTCCTCCCTCCTCGCTCCCTCCTCCTCCTCCTTCCTCCTCCTCCTCCTCCTCCTCCTCCTCCTCTCCCTCCTCCTCCTCCTCCTTCTTCTTCTCCTCCTCCTCCTCCTCCTCCTCCTCTCCTCCTCCTCCTCCTCCTCCTCCTCCTCCTCCTCCTCCTCCCTCCTCCTCCTCCTTCTCCTTACTAAAGGAACTATATTATCTGCAAGCTCATATTTGAGTACTGCCCTATCTGTCTGTCTGTTATTGTTTTTGTCTATCTATCTATCCAGTCTATCTAGCTAGCTAGCTAACTAGCTTGCTATCTGTATTTGTTTATTTAGTATTTATTTATATATTTGTTTATGAACTTGTACATATGCACCTAGATACATGTATAGAAAATAAATGTATTGAAATAGGAATTTCATTGAAGTATTGATAATTTCACTAACATTTTAATTTTTTACCTATTCTAAAATCCTTTTTATGTATGCGAGTTTCTCACAAAGGCTTTCCATTTTTTTCGCTCCCTTTAGGTGAGAAAAACGAACTCCCACCAGGAACCCATCAGTTCAATTTTTCCTTCCTTCTCCCTAATGGAATTCCATCTTCCTTTGAGTCATCCACTGGCCAAGTGCGACATTGCTGTAAGGCCAAAATGGACATTCCATGGGGCATCGACAAGAAGGCTAAAAGGCCGTATTCAGTGAACACTCTTTTGGATTTGAACAGAGACCCCCAGGCTCAAGTTAGTATTGAGAGGCTAAACACTTGGATGTGTAGGATAATGTGAAATGTCTAGATTTCTTTCAATATTGTTATTGGGATCATGTGTATCATCAACATTTTTATTGCTCTAGTAGTATACTAACTTTTAACAATATTTTGAATTCATATTGTTATTAAGTTCATCTATGATTTAAACTTTATCCATAAGACATGTGAATTTTAAACCACTCTTTTTTTCATTATGTTATCATTTATCTATTTCCTCACCTTCCCTTTCCTCCAATCCTGTAGATGCCAATTGAGTACAATGAGCACAAGTACCTTTGCTGCTTCTGGTGTAGGAGTGGGCCTCTGTCCATGGTTGTCCGTATTCCCCGCTCAGGCTATGTGCCTGGCCAGAAGATCCTGCTCAATGCAGAGTGCTCTAACATGACCAGGAACAAAGTCTCTTACAGCAAGGCTTCACTTAAACAGGTAGGTACGGTAATATCTTTATTTCTTTTGGATTTTCTCTTTCCGCTTACCCTCATTTATGGTAAGAATTAAACCAAAGGAAAGAAAGAAATTCTTTGTAATATTTATCAAAACATTTTATATTTCAAAGAAATAGCAATTTATTGAACAAAACCTTCCAGAAAGTGACATTTTATGCAGAGGGCCACACAAAGAGTGATAGTCGTGTGGTTGCTGAGATTAAGAGGGGTGAAATAGCAGCAGGAGAAGATGACATTTGGTCGGGCGTGGAGATGCTTGTCCCGGCCTTGCCACCCTCAAACTTGGAGTTCTGTAGAATCATTGATATTGATTATACACTGGAGGTAACATTAGCCAACTTTATCTCTACCCTCCCTTTCAGCCAAATTCCTACTCTTACTCTCTTTGCACTTGTTCATCTCAATAAGTTGTTCTTTGTATGCTACCTTTGATATTACTCTAATGTGAAGATTGCTTCATAAGTTCTTACTTGATCTTGTACACATATTGTTAACTCATGTTATTAGAGCAAGTATTTTCATGCCTGTATAGTTTACTACTATAGCACCTAATATGAAAACTTTTTATATTTCAGTTTTATTTGTCACCAAGTGGCTGTCATGGAAACCTTTCCCACACAGCTCCCGTAATCATTGGATCGATTCCTCTTCAAGAGAATTTTGGTATATTTACTCCAGCTCCTGGTTACTGGAACCAGCCTGCAGCACCTGGATTTGCTCCACCAGGTATGCCAGGTATGCCTCCTGCACCTGGCTTTGGGGTTCCAGGGATGCCACCTCAACCCTCAGCACCAGGGTTTGTGGATCCAGGGATGCCACCTCAGCCATCTGCTCCTGGCTTTGTGGTCCCACCAGGAATGCCAGGTCAACCAATGGCACCTGGTTTCATGCCTCCACCAGCCTACCCAGGAGGACAGCCTACAGCACCTCAAATGCACTTCGTCTTCCCAGGGATCCAGCAGTATCCCAATTTGCGTGAGTATTGATGCATATAAGATACAGTTTGGGATTCATATTTCTTGTATATGATATTCTCTATATAGAATATAAAAGATTAAATAAAGTTACATACAGTATATAGAAGTTGATATTGTCATATTAGTTTTTGCAAATAATGTTTTATCATAACTGAAAACTAGTCATGCAATTATTCACCAAGAAGTTATTTAACTTATTGAATCTGGGTGCCTCACTGCCTGCACACTGCCCAAAATCTGAGCATTAGGCTAACTTCGAGTTGCTTATAGGCAGGGGCCACATAAATACTTGTCTTCCCTCTGCATTGTTATGATCTCTTTTTCTGCATAAGCATTTCTTGCTTTTTTGCCATTATCTAGTTTTTATATTTGTTACTTGATATTTTATATCAAGATGGTAATAGACTGTTTTCTTTGCACAGCTCCATATTTTTTCTTTAGTTAGTCTATAGCTCTATGTAATAACAATAAGTCACATTTTATTTGCTTCATTTTTTACACTTATAATATTCAGTATTCTCATCACCTTGGCTCTCAGCCAATTTTTTTCTCGACTGCATGTTTACATTTCCCATCCCAAGACATAATTGTCACATCACCTTGATTGAAGGGTTTTATGTAGATCTGTTGCTTATATTAACCCTAAGCCACTAGGGATGGCATGTGCCTTCATGCCCACTCTGTGTTTAATTTTGTAATTATTTGGATACAAGTCCCCAATGAGCCAATTACCAGTACTACCTGTCACACCTTTTTACCCTTTTCCTAGATTTTTAAAAATATTTTCTGGTATTTAATTTTGTTGTTACTAATGTCGGTAACACTAGTAATTATGATGTCTATAATAAAAATAAGAATATTGATAGCTTTAGTAAAAAAAGAAATGTAACACACATGTGACACCTGGAAAAATAAATATTGGCGGGTGTCCCGCTGGTGCAATGCTAGATCAGAGCTTGTGCTCTGATTTTGTTGCCTGTGGTGTGGGCAGGTTCTGGGCCAGTCCCATGCGCCGATTTTGAATCCGCCCGGAAACCATTATTTTTGGCTTCACTATGTATTGGCACTAGTGGGTTATCAAACATAACTCCCATGTAAATAAACAAGTTGGGTTTCAGGAATCACACAAGCATCCTCATACATATTTCATTGTTTTCAATAGCTGATATTAAGAAAAGGAAAAAAAAAAAAAAACTTGTATACATATGTATATATACAGTATATGTATATATATTTTTTTATATGGTAGTAGGTTAAGGTTAACAATGTTCTTGTATTTTATTCATTAACCCCTTCAATCCAGATAATGTTACCATCATGTCATGAAAAAAATTGGCTTGAGGGACGGATTACATAAACTTGCTGTCATGTGGGTTTCAGCTGATGGCCAGGCTGATGGAAAAGAATCAGGTGCATGAACCTCTTGGAGGGTGATTAGATCCTTTGGTGTTCAGAAAGTGGCTTTTGCATTATTCTCATCAATAAACAAGTGTGGAATGTAGTGTCTGTGAGCCATGACTGGAAGAGTGCTGGCTCCAGGGAGGACACCATTTCCATGCTTAGCAACTTGTTCCTGGCTGCTGTGACTGGTGGTGCAGGTTGTATCACAGAAAATTAATTTTTATGAAAAGAATTAAAATTACACAATAAAATATTATATATTTTATTTTTTCTTGCACTGAGTTATGGACTACCTAGAGTGATCATAATGAGTCTGTGCAAGGAAAACAATCTATT